ACACATTAAAGAGGGTCACCCAAACATTGGCCATGTCCTGAATAAGCGGCGGCGAAACCACTTTAAAGAGGGTCCCTACACTAAACCAAGTGCAACATTAGTAGTAGCAGCAGGGCTAATCGTATACGTTTGCCGCGCAAACAGCGGCTTTGTGTCATGCTTTTGGGATTGCCTCCTGCGAAGTTGGCTCCTGATATTTCAGGGCAAGTAGGCAAAAATGCCACGTCTGCCAGCTTACTTGCAATTCAGGAGATTGGACGAGGTCAACTGTGGGAACTTTGTGAGTTGGGGGTCAGCTCCAAAAATGCGCCGATTTCTGGCGCATGCATGCGTTTTATGCAGGTTTCGGAGCCTTTTTTTCGTTCGGTTTGCCGGTCTTTCAGTTCGCTGTTGTTTCCAGCCACGAGAGGTCCACAAAAGCCGTCTGCGGCGGGACTTTGTCCTGCAAAGCTGTGCGGTAAGAGGCCACTGCGCGAACTGCATTCAGCAATCCAGGGTTGTTACTGAGCCACAGCGTAGACAAAGGGTCAACATGTTGTGCTGACCTTGACTCGCTTCCCGCCCATCTTATTCTCACGTCTCAAGCTTCGCTTGATCTTCGATGCAAGGGACTTGCACCTCGGCCCGCCTCCCACAACCTTGGCGTGGGATCCGGAGTTCTGCAAGAACCTCTTGTGGTCGCAGCTTCTTTGTGTCGCCTTCCCCACTGCTGCACCAACCTTCTCAGGCACGGCTTTGCCGGCAGCCTTGTTACAGGGGTGAACTCACCCTTCGCGTGCTTGGCAATGCTAGGGGCGAGGTTCAGGTCCTTGCAGGCATGCACCAACCCTTTCCCCGCATCGGAGCCCACGAGATGTTTGCTCTAATAACCGTATGCTCTTGGAACACGAACGGAATAATGATTTTGAAATGGATGCTCTAATATCCGTATGCTCTTGGAACACGAACGGAATTATGATTTTGGCATGGATGCTCCAGTAACCGTATGTTTTTTGGAACACGAACGGAATTATGAATTTGGCATGGATGCTCTAATAACCGTATGCTCTTGGAACACGAACGGAATTATGAATTTGGCATGGATGCTCTGGTAACCGTATGTTTTTTGGAACACGGACGGAATAATGGTTTTGGCATGCATGCTCTAGTGACCGTATGTTTTTGGAACACGAACGGAATTATAATTTTTTCATGGATGCTCTGGTCCCCGATTCATCCCAGCAGCCCCTCAAGCTGCACAGCATCCAGTGGCGCGGGGCGCAGGCGGTGGCCCCACATAATGGAACCCGAAAGCAGCACGGTGATCCACCCAAGGCTGCGGCACACAAAATGAACTGCTTCAAAACGCGGCAAACCCCCCCGATTGACCCTAGCAGCAGTGGCAGTAGCAGTAGCAGTAGTAGCAGTAGTGGAAGTAGTGGTGGTAGTAGTAGTAGCAGCAGCAATAGTAGTATTATTAGTAGTAATAGTAGTAGTCGTAGAGTAGAAGTAGTAGTAGTGGTAGTAGTGGTAGTAGTAGTAGTAGTAGTAGTAGTAGAGGAGCACCACGGCTCGAGTGAGTCCACTGTGGGCTCTTGTTGTACTAGTTGGCCTGTTTGATCACTGCCTTTGCCGAAGCATCCCTACCGTGATACAGCTCTGGCTGCCTTCGTGCGTACCCATTGCGCCATCTGAATGAAGTCCCCCACCTCCATCTCCTCCCCGCCCCTGCAGAACCCAGCGAAATATTGAAAAGCGAACGAAGATATCAGGACCTGACCTGCGTGCTACCAATTAAATGTGTAAGTCTTAGAGGGGGTGCGTGCTGCAGCCACGGCATACGATCGCACCCATTTGAGCTTCAAGGCCCCAGTGCTTGACATGCTCTCAACGAGGAAGCTTTGCATACCAAATTCTGAGCATATTGGAGATTGGGAATCATAATCCAGAAGAAGAAATACTTTGACATACCTCTTCCTCCTCATCGAACATTGTGACATCATGGCAAGGTCTTCGCCACGCAGCTCTGTTGCCCAGAAGGATCAAGATCCAGCTTCAGGTGGTGGTGTGACGTCAGAGTACGCAAGTTTGGCAGTGTGTGTGTCTTAGTCTTGCTGTGCAGGACGAACGTCTTCAATTGCAAGCCCTCTGCCGGCTGGCGCGCAGCTCAGGGGCCTGCATTTAAAGTGGTAAAGTGGACCGTCCCTTGGCCAATCTCAAGCCGACCAAAACGTTGAAGGTGTGAAAGATAATCTTCGCTGGGAAACCACCTGGCACATTGCATGGCTTTCGCATCTGGTGTACTCAGGTCCAGGTCGCACAGACAGTTCGTCCACTGAAGCCCTGAAGTCTTCAGCAGACAGGCCAGAAGATGCTAAATATATTGCTGTGCTCAACCCGCTGCTTCAGGGTTGGGCCAGAAGTGCAAGCTCCAGCTGCGGACTTGGTGCCCGAGCCCCATTCAGCCTTGAGCCTCATGCAACGCTGCAGTCTTTCGACCTTTGATTCACAGGCCGCAGGCAGCTGCGGAGCCTTCCCAACCACCCGAGCAAGCTCTCGGTCAGGAGAGTTGTTTAATGTTGAGTGCTTCATTTGTGCGACGTGGACGCAAGCAATTTCGCAGGAAATCTTTGATGCCCTGCAGCATTACAACCCTCCATCACAAGAAGTGCTCCTGCAGAGCTCACATACGTTACTGCTATTTGCACATGTGGCAGACCTGAGGTGCTTGTCGATCCAAGCGGACGAAGCTGCGGCCTCGCTTTTGTTCTTTGCTACAGCTTGGCTCACGCAGGCTGCCCTCAATACTCAGGTCCTGCAGGTAATGTGCAGCAAGCAGAGCTGGAGCTGGAGCACGGGCCTTGGGCGGACAAGGGGTTACCGTGGCAATGCAATCGGCCGTTCTGCGCTGTCATGAGCAATGCACATCAATGACGTTTGCAAAGCTGGCGCCATCACACATTGCGTACCACGTGGCTCTAGCTTCAGCCCAGAAGTGTAGCTGCCCAAGATCCAGCAGATGGCTCTTCGATGCGCCGCTGCGCTGGCCGGGCTCAAGCACCAGTGTAACACTGCATAAGGCCTGGCACAAGTTGAGGTAGCATTTCACAGAAGTATGATTCGAACGACATTTCCTCAAAGGAAAGCTTTCTGAATGGGCCGCATGCGGCAACTTCCTATATCCCTACATTGCTGCGCAAAACTCACGGCAGCGGCAGCCTCCTAGCTGCATGGCCACCGGTCCTTGAAATCAGTTTTGGACACTTTGGGATAATCGTGCAAGGTTACTGTTTCGTGTATCCTTGGCTTCACATGCTGGGCTTCAACCGAAGCCTCGGAGAGCACAAGGCCTCCCTCGAGCTTTGGCAGCATAAGAAACTGCCATTAGAAAGCTAAAAGATGCGCTGTGGTCAAAGATCCCGGAGCTTTGTCTGTCTACCTAGGTTTCTACAAATGGCACAGGCCTCAAGGCCCATCCTTGCCCGACTTTGCCGTTTCCACTGCCCTATCGTGCTTTACATTAGACACCATTACATTGACGCCGCGGCGCCCTGATTTGCATTCAGGATTGCAGGACGACATGAGCAACAAAAGGCACGAAGCAAACATCCGAGCTCTCTGCTTGCCTGCCCTGCAGAGCTTCAACGCAGAAACCCGGATTGCTTCCCAGCCGCGTCAAGGGATGATCCCCAATGATCATGTATCGGAATCATGCAACAAGGCAGAGTCGTCAAAGTGCGGGGCAACTTCCGCGTCGGTAACAAGTCCATCAGGCAAGGTGCTGCCAATCGTTTCTCCGGTGAATTGAACTCCGCACTGAGTGCCAAGAGTAGATGAGTTCCTCTTCCCAGAAATCGTAGCGCCCGTATGCAGAGAATGTAGGCCGACCGTGCTGCACTCCACAATGGTTTGGACCGCAACTGGAAAGCATTGCTGCTGCACAACATGTCTGTGCAAAGCTCTCCTACTGTCAGCATGAGGCAGTGGATGCATCCTTGCTGACAGATGCCCGCTTGCAACTTTGTGGACACATGCCAAAAGGCCACTGTGGCCGCATGTTTGGTAGCTCAAGCTGCTTTGGAAGGACCACGATAGCATTGTCGGCTGGAAGCCGGCTATGGAGGACGTCAAATCCCGCTGCCCTGGTGAAACCAAGCAGGCGCCTTCTTGCATGTGGCACAGCGATAAAAAAGCAAGTCCCGCAGCTGCAGCTGCACTTCATGTGACAGGTCAGCTTAGTGCACCACATCAATATCTATGCCTACGACGCCAAGACTCCACTGACAGACGCAGCTGGGCTTTTGGCTTGAAGTTTTGAGAGGTTGGAGGCTCTTGATGCACGTCAACAACTGAGGGGCGAACCTATGTCGTGGGCGAGCGCGGTGGGCCCGTAGATGAGACCTCCTTTCGGATGCTGGCTTCGCATGACAAAGACACTCGGCAAGGAAAAAGGCAATTAGCACCTGGGTGCTAGAGATGTTCTTGGAGCCAGAAGCTGCGAAAAAGACGTGTAGGAAGCTGGCGACTACGTCTTGCCATTTGGCTATGGCATTCCTTTAGGAAAGCAGCTGCTTAACTGCAAGAACGTGCAGCACGTGCGTGGGAATTAGATGCTAGCGGCCTAGATCTGCCATAGCTTTTGCTTCTGCACGCAGGGCCCTGATGGAGCGGCATGTATTGTTCCCAAAATGTTGGGACTTTCAAGAGGCACCTCGGCTTTGTTGTTCTCTTTGTGTCAATGCTTCCAACACCTGGAAGCAAGGATGTGGTGGAATCCAGCGGCATGGATCTGCCCCTCACAGATTTGACAAGCTCTTTTGGTTTGTGTTGCTTGTGGTCTCTGGTGGTTATCAAGGCTTCTGGAACTCAGGTATGTAGTGTCCTCACGCTCCATGAAACCAGCTGCCTTGGTAGGACGTGCTTCACCGCGCCTCACCGTCAGTCGCTGTAGCTGAAGTGCTGTGAGGAGCTCTGAACTTCAACATGGACGTTCAGCCGAAGCAGGGACCGGTGGAGTGGATCACTCGCATGTCCGTGGAAAAGCTGAGAGGTTTCGTTTCGAAAAATGGCAATGCCCCACGGCTGCAAACTAGGAAAGGGGCAGCCCCGAAGGCTCATGCTGGTTTGCCCATTCACTCTCGTATACTATGGAGGTTCAGATAGGCTGCATGACATGGAGACCTGAGTATGCGAGAGAGAGAGAGAGGGAGAAATAGTCTGCAAGAGTCCGCTGGTATTACCAAAAACGCTTCCAACGACCTTCATCAATGATAAAGATCATGTTCAGAAGGCTGGCGACCTGAGATAGGCTACAGGCACCGTGGAAATTGTAGACCGGTCCTGCTACCACTTGACAGAAACTCACAATGCTGCTACAAGACACATCCCTGGATCCGCAAAGCTTCAATGCGTCGTTTTGCTGCAGACCAGCGTAAGCTCCTTGATGGCCAGCTCTGAGGCATTGCGAATACCAAGACTTCCTTGACTATGTTGACTCCCTGTTTGCTTGTTGCAGTCAGGAATGGCCCGAGATTCTTGCGGTGCACCTGCACACACACGATGTGACTTTGCAGCAGCCACACCCGTTCTCAACATCTGTCCAGTTCTGCTTTGCAAGTTCCTCTTGCTTTGGCAGGTGGCGCAAGTGAAATACTTCGAGATCTTGCACTGTGGCTTCATGCTGAATCATTTTGACACGGTCCCACGCTGTGCTGCCTTAGTTGAGGAACAATGATGGTTCGGTTGCCTTCCAATCGCAAAAAGAGAAGGCTGGCTATGGCTTGAAGGCGCAGCTGTTGTCTTTTCCATGTGAATCCAAATGCATGTCATAGCGCTGCGAGGAACGTTTGGTAACATTGCGAGTTGGTAGGACCAAATGGGAGTTCCATCCAAAGATTTGCTCCAATTGCCCGGGATCACGAAGCTGGACATTTGTGTGCCAAGGGAGATTCTGTAAGAAACGTTCTTCTAAAGCACGTGCCTGGGCTTGCAGAGTCTTCATCGCAACGGAAGCAGCCTAATGTGAGGTCCCTTATGATCCCCCCTCCCCCCAGTTCCGGGCCCATCAATCTCGAAACGCAGGTCTCCGAAATGGGAGGTCGTAACAAAAGACTCGGGGGCCTCAGCTCTCTCAATTGGGTCGTCATAGTTGTGGTAGGAGTAGGAGCACTAGACTAGGAGTAGCAGGAGGAAGAGGAGTAGGAATATGAGAAGCAGGAGGAGAAGAGGTTATTAATTAGATTCCAATTGCGAGCCATGATTTTTCCCGATGTTTTGGGCCGGGGAATTCTTTTATTTCCACTCCATTATAAGACTCACCCTCTACATCCGCGAGATACAGATAAGCTACATCAGCAAAACCATAGTTTCGCACGAAAATTCATCTTTCTGACCCCTTAGATAAGAAACCCTCACACACTGTTGCGGTGCTTGTGCTGGTGCTGGTGCTGGTGCTGGTGGGTGGTGGTGCTGCTGCTGCTGGCGGTGGCGG